GCGGATGCAACACCTTCAGAATGTGTGCATCAGTATGCCTGTTTGTACAACCCATGTCTCTCTAAGATGGAAGGATTTTGTCCTACTGTCAGTGTGTGATTGGGAACCAGTAGACTTTTGTCTTTGGATGTGTTCACAGAAGAAATTAAAGCAAACTGACACCTTACCTATGCATACACATTTTCTTGCTTGTCAAAACAGGTATAAAATCTTACAGGGAATTTGCTGAGCTTTGTCACAAAAAGACTACTACAGTTAACAAACCCAGAATGATCTCAACACAACAGACCAAAACCTTATTCATAGTTTTCAGTCACTGAGCCCTGGACGGCAACACATTCCAATATGGCAGCCTACACTGGACTCTCTGTAGAACCGCAGGCATCCAAATTATCCATTAATTTTAAGCTATGGATATTTATATCACCTCTCATAAGAAGAAAATCAAAGATACATGACTAAACTCTAAGTTTTGGGAACTTGGGACCCACATACAGAACCTCAGAACTCCAGTTTGGAGATGTTTACATCCCTCCTCCTACACTGCTACCAGAATGAAAGCATACAAAAGTACAGACTCAGGATGTCCTGGCCCAATCTCAAAGATCAGTGTCGGCACCGATCAAGGCACTTTTTGGAGAAAGTGGTAGAGACCCGACCCAACCGTGCTCCACACGCCACTGCAAGGGGAACAAAAGCCCCGCGAACAAAAAGGCAATAAGCGTAATTAATAAATGTAATCTGTGCAAAAGATGAAGAGACGACGGAAATAAACACTCAACAGAAAACAGACAGTTCATTCAGGTAACTCAGGTAAAAGTTGCACCATAACTTGAAAGCAACCAACAGCTGAGAATCTTTGCCTCAATCATAGTTTTCATGTGACGTCATACCTTTATGAGACGCCACCTTGAAGAAAACAATTCTGATGCCTTCAACTAACTTAAGACGTGATTTCTACACAGATCATCATTTTCGCTATGCCAGGAAGAGTTCTCATCCATGTTGTTCTTTGG